ATAATGAAAGGAAATGAACGAAAGCTAAGCTTTAATGAAACAGACAAATTTAACGCAGAGCAGCCACACATCGTTTTCAAGTAGTGCATTATAGAGCGACGTTTTCTGCGTACTTACATCTTCCGCGAAAGAATTAATTTTGTCGTTATAGGAGTTAGCAAGAGTACATATTTATATGGAAAAGGGCTCCACAATATTGAAGAGAAACGAGTAGGACGATAGCCTAAAGACCATTTGGTGTTCTAGAGGGACGTGTTGTTGCATTAAAATTGACAAGTTAAAAAAAGGATGGGACTGATGATATTTGTTCGTGAATAACCTTGCGAAAGAAAATAGAGGTTTGCAGGAGTTTTTCGGATTTCAAGTGAGGTAATGCCCAAGGTCCGCATCAGGGTCCAGGCTCGACTTACAGGCCCATATCCTGTATGCGATAAAACGGAACTGAATTCTCCGCAGTTTATGCTGTATTCTCCTGAACTGTAGTCTGTGTTTGGCAGTACGGCGAGCCCAAATGATAGATACGTGTTTGAGTACAGGCCGAATGAGGAAGTAATAGAGGTAGAGAAAAGCATAAGGATTTCTGATTAGTTGCAACATATGAAAAGGAAACCGATGATATATCAAGTTGTCCCAAAAGTTTCTTTCGTTTTATAAGGAAATAACAGATGCACAACATTTTTTATTTCATATTATTATTGTTGTTCTATTACTATAAAATTGATCATACATAATTCAATAATACAATATAAAAGAAAAAATGTTGTGCATCTATTATTTCTGTAGCGGCGCAGGTGTCAAAGGACGACGCGATCGCGAGCGACACAGAGTATCTCCGAGTACATACCGAATATCTAACAGTATCTACAGTATCTCCGAGTATCTTCGAGTATCTACCGAGTTACGCGACGAGCATTAACGAATATTTATCCGCGATTTTATTTTGCGACTCATACTTTGTACTAACGACTCACGTATACAGGCTGTACATTAATTTATTATGTTAAATATATTCGAAGGTTTCAACAACGAGCAATCTCGTCCTTTAACCCTTTCGCTTCGGGTGTCGCTTATAGGCGGCGCCGGTTAGATGACCTGTGGGTACGGATGCCGCTTATAGGCGACGACCACGCGACGATCGGTACCCCATGTATCAGGCATACACCAGTGCCATCTGTAGTCAATAATATATTTTTTCGTTACCGGCAGAAGCCTTTTCATATTAAAGATGTAAATCATACTTATCATATTGGAGCAAAGATTGTCTTATTACTGTTTTATTCAGCACATTTGTTATTTAAGACTTAGGAAAACATTTATGCAGCAATCACGCCACTGTGCGCATTTGTGGCACGCGCCTCCGTACAGGGAGAGCACTTAGGCGGACTGGACTGCCGAAGCGAAGGGGTTAAACCTCACGTACTAACTATCCTCTACATTTCCTTATAAAACGAAAGAAATTTTTGGGATAACCTGTGTTCTGCCTAACTAGTGTGTAGGAGAAATTGAAAGAGTTTCTGTTTCTAGAGAAACATACGATATGACACTTGTCAATGATAAATTCCATATACCAATCATCTAATTTATTAAAGTCCGATTGTACATTTAGAATATCGGGTTTAAATGTTACGATTTTGTAAACCTTGAAGTCGTCCACAAACAGTAAAAATTCGGTATAATGTTGAAACAGAAAGCACGTATGAAACATTACTGAGCGATTTCAATAACACAGTGAAACAAACAGCAATCTTTTTGAGCAACTAACATTAGGAATCGTCACATAAGTGCAAAAGCATGTATTTTCTGTTATCGCTTAGCATTCAAACGCAGATATTAAATAATTGAAAGGGTATGTTGTTAAAATTGTTGAATTTTTTTGTGCGCTGTAGAAAAATATAGAAAGGACCTTGACCTATAGATAATATCTTTAACTTTCTTAAAAAATGACTTTGAAAGAGATTCTTCCCATCGTTGTGTGTGCTTCTTCGTATAACGCAATTTTGTGCTCAATTCCTTCACGTAACTACAAATAAAGTAATAACTACAAATGTTGCGACCGTTCGCGAAGAGACGCGGTCGCGAGGAAAACGCGTCAGCGAGAGATGTAAATTCTCGCTACGATTCTGTCAATCGACGCCGCGAAACAGTCGTTCCCCTGTTTCGATTAAGATAACAGAGGTGGTTCAATGAATTAACAGGTTAACATACAATAATATATTTGACAATAATATGATGAACACGCCACAATTGTTTAACAATGAATACAGAAAGTTGACTCCACTTTACGATATCTCTCAATGAATCCGTTAAATTATGCGTTTTTAATTTTAATCGTCAGACCTCTCGATGTATTACGTTTGACTCGTCAGAAGGAACTGATTGCCTTTCGATCATTTCTTTGTCTTCTTTGGAAGACGCCCCCTACTATGTTCGGGTCACGCCACCGTTCGCGCCTATGATCACGTATGCCGCCTTTTTGTGTGGAAAACGTAACGGACAAAAATCGACGTTTCTATAATTCGCTGCTTGGCGACAACTATGCGCTTGTCACGTAATTTTTAGGGTTGGTTGATGAAAATAAAATATAGCTGAGTCGTAACACAACTATTAACTTTGTTTTAATTAAACTTTATTGTGAATTCAGCAATCACAATGTAACACACTGAATTAACATAAATCACAATTCACTCCAACCACGTTATGTAAGACTTAGTTACAACGATACGTTAAGTACACGACTTATAAGGGTAGAGACCGGTGTAGATATGTTGACTATTCTAAGGATACAGAATAAGTGAAGTTTTACTGACGATACTGTGTCTGAGGAAAGCTAGGGTTAGGTGTGTCTAAGGACATGGGACTATCGGATTTGTTGATGACAATTTTGGTTAAGGAAGTGAAGGCAGTAGACACCGTCTCCGATTGGATAATAAGACGGTTGGTGGACCAGGAAGAGTTTTAGCCGCCCTCGCGAAAAAGTTGCTAACGGAACATACCAAATGTGAAGAAAACCAACTTTCTAAGCTAACACGTGGTAGACAATAAACGTAAAGGGAAATCTAAGACAGGAAATACTCGCTTGGTCCGAAGGACCTTAACTATGAAAATGCCAAGACCCCTACCTTAACTATGAAAATGCCAAGGCCCCTGGTGGGTACTTAAGACTATTGAGGGTGCACACCAAGGATATGCAGACATCTGGGTGCCATCCTGTCCGTGGTGTGTGGCCTGGTCTCTGATGTGAATTGACGTTACACGCTCGTCGATACATTCTATACGTTCCGTCGGGCAGATAAGACGATCTTGCTGCAACACTGTAGGACCGCGAGCGACGGTTAGAAAATACAGCCTGTGGTAAGCCCCGTGGCGTAACAACAAATAATACCATCTAATAGGTCACTTTGTATGTATGTAGCGTCTTACACACAAGCATATTATTAATATGTACGTTAGAAATTTTTGTGGACAGCTACAATATACTGCTCGCAATTACTTAGGCTCCTTCTCGAAATTCCGACATAAGCCTCATGCTACTTTTCATATATACTTCTTGTTATCAGAAGATATCCTTGTTTTCTCCATTTCGCGGCCAACTCTTTTAGAGACAATGTTTCCATATCTTAAGGCAATGCAATCATGAATCACTTGCTAGCCTTACTTTAAACAATTACATGTAACTTCTTGTCATTAGGTCTTGATATCTATCACATATTATTCTAAAATTGAGTAGCACAAGCCAGTTGGCACCGATGTCCTTAAAACTACGATGTCCCTATTTTGTACTTAGCTACTATACTACAACTATAGGCGAAAATTTTCAGAGGTGCAATGTGTTCGTCATGATTAATTAAAAGGATATTATATGAACTTTTCAATGAAATAAATATGGAAAATCCAAGAATTGCCAACTATGCTTGGAAGTTGTGTGTGCAATATGATAGAGTTCGAGGCATGTGGAAAGTACGGCTTCCAGGCAAGCAGGAGATGATTCAGCGCATTAAAATAAGAAGGAAAGTTCGTATAAATGTTTTCGAGTAGACGCTTGCTTTGTGTTACAGTGCTTTCTTACCTATCTTTAGAGAAATTACTCGAATCGACCAGTTCCAATTTCTACGGAAACTATAGATCGTCAACCTTGTTCGAACAGCTTACACGGATTTGTCGAAAACTTTGATCGTCATATCAATTAACGTTTTATAAGTAAAAGATTTTAAACGTCCCGTATTTAATAATCTGTGGCGGCACGGGCCACGGAACTTTCTAATGGCTCTGGATACAAAGCGCGACGCCGTCAAAGCGCAACACCAACGTGCCCAATGTACCATCGATATCTTCACGCTCATTCCGCCGAATTCTCGAAAAAGCATACATGTGCCAGCCGCGGCGGCACATCTAATGAATGCACGCTAGTGGGGGATATCGATGGACAACGAAGGGAAAAATCCGTTCGATCTGGAACAAAAGGGCAGTCAGTCTGTCTTACGCCGTTAAATGTATAACTCCTCAGTATCATTGCATAGCAATGCATAGCGTCGGGTGAACTCTTGGTGTCTATTGTTACTTGTTAATTGTACCAGTTATTTGTTAATCGTATCTGTTAATTGTTATTTGTTGACTCTGACTGTTAATTCGTTCTTAATAAACAATTGTTCGTTAAAACATCTGAGTATTCCTTACGCATCTACCACGACACACCACCTCAAATCGAACGGATTCAGATCCGAAGAGCGTATTGGTCCGAAAATAAGGCCAGCACGATTTATCTATTTTCCAAGAAATCGTTCATCTGTGTAATGTTTAGCATCGCAAAATAAGTTATAAGCGGAACGTAAGGTCATATTAGGCATATTATATTATATGCACTTTTCTTCTTATTTCAGTATCCAGAATCAACCTCTGCTATATTTTCTACGTGTTCTGATTCATCTTGCATAATATATAATAATGATAATTGCAAATATATTTATATAATAACTCTATGATAAGCGATTAATAATACATACAGTGAACTTGTACAGAGTAACGTTTGCTGACTGTCGGAGGCACATTGTTGCTGGCTATGCAAAGATAAGTGCCCATTTCTTGTCGAAGAACTCCAGTCAATTCTAGCGTTTCACCCACATAAGTTTTTAACGCTGAAACATGAAAATATATAGTCGTTATTTTTTAGCTTTGCCTCTATTTAATCTTCATCTTATCTGCTTACGCACTTAATAATAGAATTAGGTTTGGTTTACGTAAAAAGTAACTTCTTTTTATTAAGACACATATTTATTAAGATTTAGTATGATACAATTTATTAAGATATATATAGCGAAAGGCAGGAAGTAGTAACATTTTACGTGAATTTGTATGGATTGAATATGCTGATGTGCTTATGAATAAGAGAGTATTGATCGATAATTATTAAGGCCAATTGTTTGTAACATGGGAATAAGCAAAAGTCATTTTTAAGTTTAAAGATCTTTAGTTTAGTATTGAAATATGTTTAATGTATTTTAGCAAAAGTAAATAAAATAGGAATATTAAAAGCATTAAAAACTTAATATCTAGTTCTCGTGTTGTCCAAAGTTGCGTTTTGAAGATTTGAAGAAAATTTGACAAAAATGATGCATATACAAATGCTATCTGTAGTCAATAATATATTTTTTCGTTATCGGCAGAACATTTTCTCTTGATTTTATTGATATATTGGATTAATCACTTCTTAAAGTTACTCATTGTTGAAGCAACATCAAAATCATATACTGTTTTATGCTAAAAAATCTATTAAATCCATTGACAGTGAAACGATATTTCATATACGGTTCTTGCAAGAATTATTATTATTTAAGACTTAGGAAAACATATATATAGTAACCACGTACACTGCGCGTATTTCTGGCGCGCGTTTCCGTTCAGTGACAGTACTTTGGCGGACTGGATTGCCAAAGCGAAAGGGTTAAAAAAATACGATAAAATCACATGTAGCTCTCTATTTGTCTAATCGCTTTTGTAGCAATATCACTATGTCCTCTGACATACTTGAGGTCTCTTACAATTCACAAATTAAATGAACAACTGTGCAAGCGAAATCGCTGTCAAATAATTCCCGCTTCTGTAGAATCAGTCGTATGGACTTCGAAATTTAATGTGTCACCGGGACTAGCGTTATCCAATGCACGCCACAGGAATATATGTAATATCGTGATATAATATGTTTACAAAGGAATGGATGATACAGATGTTAATTGGACAGAAAAAGACGATTGTTGTTCAACCTGAACTATTCACACCAAACGTACAGAAAACAGCACAACTAAATAATTAGGTAACGACTCGACTTTCACAAAATGCAATCAACACTCTCTCGGCAACGCCACTCGCAAACTCTGCTCTCGACTCGCTGCTTCTCGACTCCCACGCTGCTTCTCGACTCCTCTCTCTGGCCGTTGTGGCATTCTCTTGTCTTTTGCTAGGCCCACTGCACACGTGTTCTGCAGACGCTCGTAGCTAGGGTCACGTAGGTCTTTTCTACGAAACTATGCACTTGAAAAGACCGATGACACATTGATGGCCCCGACGGCGCCTCGGCTCTCGCGACATTGTTCATGGTTCGCCCGATATCTCTTAGGCTTTTCGTCCACGATACTACATATATAAAGATATTTCTCAAAATTGTTTATTACTGGTATGATATTGCTGAAATACAAGGCTGCAGTTTCTTAATGTCGTCAAAACATTCAGTTCTTTTTTGGTCAGTCACTTTTCGCGTACTTTGTATTGCTCTGTCGAATTTGAAAGTTTATATTACGATAGCGGATGGTGCGAAAGACACAAGTTTCTAGTATTTTAGAGATGTCTGAACGTCAGCTGCATGATTATGTAACAAAAAATGGAAACATCCATTGAAATATTTTAACACGCAAGAGATTTCATGTTAAGACAATACATACAAAGTAAATACACAAGAATATAATAGCATATCCCTTTCGATGTCATTCGATTTTTGTGTTATTCATTTTTTCCCCGATATATTTGAGCGGTTCGAGATAAACTGGATACACTTTTAAATAATTTCTCTCAAAAGTGGCAGCAATTAATATTTCTTCTACTGAAAACAATTAACTCTGGAAATATTGAAAATGTAAAAGAATAGGAAGCTTAAAATCCGTTCACTTGTCGATGCAATGAGCAGAACTATACATATTTGCGATAATAAGAAGAATATCTCTAATGATATTTTTAATACATCAAAAGACAAATACTATAAAAAGATTTGACGCACTCTTTGAATACCGCTATTGTCAAGATGTATAAACATAATTAGCCTAGATCGTGTCGAAGTAGTACGTATGTACTTTTGACGAATTTTTAAAGTCAAAATTCTTTTGAAATCACGTTTAAAATACAGTTATTCTTAGAATATGATTTAAAATATAATCTTCTTTTTACTTTTTATGTAATTTATTACGTAAATCATTACTAAAGAAAGTTACTTTCTAGTTGTATTACAAAGTAATCCACTTTGTACACAGGTATGTAATAAATTACCAGAAATTTTGATGAGAACGAACTTTTTATTTAAAGAAGTGACATCTTTCATATATGATATCCTCTTCAATTTGCTTGGTAGTAAATATCAAATATTTTTGAGGTAAAAGTAAGAGAATATAATTCGAATGTCGACACTCGCGTCACATGTATAGCATGTTTTCTGCAACTTTGGTAGTTGGTATAATACATTTTTTAAAAGTGTCTTGAGAACTTAATCTTTTTTATTAATATGTCAAGTACTAACCAAATTATTACATTACTTTCAAGTTACATTACTCACTACTATAAACGTACGCCTTTAATTTATAATTTCGAACACTAAAATGATTAATTTATCCAAAATATCTTACATTGTTTCTGTCCATCTTCGCGAAGAATAATGTTCCTGCCATCTTCTCGTTTCCACGTGACAGTAGGCTGCGGTGAGCCAGTTGCAACACATTTCAATCTTATTTCACCACCTTCGTGAGTTACCATACCCTCGGCAGACTTATCGTCCATTATATCCGGTGGTATTACCACTTCCATGTAACCGTTCTAAAAATAGAACAATTAAAATTTTCATTAAAATTGTAACAGTCGTTATACCAACGTTATCATACAAAATCGTATTTAAGGTAACATTTAAATATTATTATTGGCCACTGCATTATGTCAACATTTTATAATTAGATTAATTACAAGTGAAGCTGTCAGTGCCATGGTTCTTATAATTGAGATTCATTCGTTTTACTTTTGGGACAATAAAGAACTTTTACATTTAGAAGAAATTCGTCAGTCAAGATTTTGGAGGCAACTCTTTCTTCCAAATCTTTAACTTGCTTTCGATCTAAAAAGAATGTTGCAGCGGAATAATATAATCATAAATCCGTCGGGTCTGTTAAATTCCATTTCAGGTTGGCAACGGATGCCTTCCGTAGCTGAGGTTCAAATGACTAACAAGTTGTAGAGAACATATTCTGAGAATAAGTATGTCTTGAAGACCCACGTGCTTCGTGACTCTATTATTTGTAAGTAATCGCACGAACCAATCTCGGTCAATCGTTATCTCTGGATGACGGCAGACAGAGGCAGTTAGCTTTCACCTTCAGCAAAATTTCCCTAATCAATTAACATCTTTTTCCGCCACCTACTACTGTGAATCTAATGATCGAAGAATTTGCAAATGCTCCAATCTGTGTATCATTCCCAGCAACACGTCCATCTTCGAATTTTCGCGAGTCTTGGAAAAAGCAAACTTTACGGAGACATGTCAACCAATCATCTATCGTCAAGCAATCTGTCATCCACAGTTTGTCGTCTAGTACAAAAAGGCCAAATATCAAGTCTATTCAACGAAAATAGATAACGTTTTCACCGCAGCTAACTCTCTTTGTCTCGTGCGAGAATCCAAAGTTTACAATCCAACTAGCCGATAAGTCGGAGTGCGGCACCCAAACAATGACACTACACAATGATTTGTTGTTTACATTTGCTATGAAATATGTAGTGTTCGGATATATGTATGGCCAACGACCGAGCACACGAAGAAGCTATATACCCGGAGAGATAACTTTCTAAAATTTGAGTCAAGTTATACGACTCGTGCTCACCCTGCAATACTCTACTGTGCGTGTACCGAAGGTAAGAGAGAAAAGCAGGCAGTGCAAGTGAGACAGAATAGGTAAAGTTTAATAAGAAATCACGGAGCCAAGTTATTTTTGTCTCTCTTAATCCCGGTCACGCATTACCTATTTCTTTAACCCCTTAACCTACAACTACGGGCATAGCCCGTAGTACGATGATCGGGCCAAATATAATATATAATATATTATATAATAGCTTGTTTACGTTTTCGGTCCCAAATTCTCGAACGTAAATCGTAGGTTAAGGGGTTAATTTCATTAAAAATTGTTGGTCAAATATATTCACGTTTGGTATCATTTTGACCAGACGAATCTCAATAGTTCGACTAGGGACATCTCGTAATAATGTGGTAAAAAAGAAAAGAACATTTTTTATTCTGATAATTCGGTACCGTGTTGAATTACATAGATGCGGATCATAGATTACACCGGAGCCTGTCCTGAGCGAGCAGTTTTACGAATTGATGGGGAACTCCCGACCATACTAGCTATATATAGCTATGATTCGTATATCTGAATACTATGGATATACATAATATGCTTTGGCAGAACTTGTATAATGAAATTTATGCTACTAATTATATTAATTACATTGCTTTGTTATATAAATATTCGGTAGCTTTATATGAGGAATGCATAAATAATTGTTATGAGTACTGAAAATGTTACATTTTTCTGTCTAAATCGTTTCGGTTCAATTTGGAAAATCTTATTCTGCGTGTGGAATTAATACCAGCAGCATATCAACTCTAAAGTTTCATATCTCGAAAAGAGTTTATGCAAAAGACAAATAAGAGTTAAGTTTGACATCGAATAAACAAAACCCAATTTGAAATTGATCTAACAGTGTTTTTCTAAATTATTTCTAGGTATTGTTCAGTTTGTTCTTATCGCAATATTGTTGGATTTAATTAACGCAGCGTTATATTTACGCTAATATCTGCATGTTAAGTATAATTTTAATATATAATAACATGATCTATAATTCTTTACAATTTATATTTTATCATGGCATATGTCTTAGAATATTCTCCAGCTTCTTGTAATTTTTATTCATACTTATTCCACGCGTATCATGTTCTTTTTATTAACTTGAAACGTTTTACATGCACAGGTGTACGCGAGCACTATCAATTACACGCACATACAGATCTTACTCAAGCTAATATTATCAACTTTAAAGCTATTAATAAATGTTCTTAAAGGGGATATTTCTTCACAACATGTAGTTAATAGTTTATTAACACGTTGACTGCCACGCGTGTTTTCAAAAAAATCTCCGTCAGGCCACGCGTACAGCAGTACCAAGCGTTCTCTGCTAGGTGCTCCCATCGATATTTTAGTAATGCGAATCGCTCAAGCGGTGGTCTCAAGAATGATCTTTCGTTTCGTCTGTTCGCAACATTAAAACCACTAGTTGTTGTCGAATATAACGAAGGAAAGTGTGGTATAGATTATTCCGACCAAGTGGTTTCTTATGCCACCACAATTAGAAAAGGAATCAAATGGTAAAGAAAACTTGACATTCAATTCCTTCTGGGAATTTCTGTTGTAAACGCTTTGACGGTTCACAAAATTGCAACAAGGAAAAATATAAATATTAGAATATTTAGACAATTACTAGTTGCAAAATTATTAGAGTTGTCTCAAAATACAAAAAATCCTTGTCTTCGACGGAGTCAGTATAATATCGCCATTCGGAAAAATGATTCCGGAAGAAGCATTAGACGCGCATGCAAACTATGTTATGCAAATAAAAGACGTCGAATGGACCGAACAAAGGCACGAAAGGATTTGAAGAAAACAACTTATTGTCCAAATTGTCCCGACCAACCTCAGCTATGTATAGAATGCTTTAAAGTTTTACATTCTAAATAATTTTTTTAATAAACCATTTTCGTATTTTTATTTTATAACAATTCAACAGTTTTATTATTATGGAATATCTTTTCAAATACCTACGATGATTCTTAGCAAGTAGTCAAATAAGCGACACCCGAATATAGGTTACGCGGCCTGACCAGAAATTTTGCTGACACCCGAATGCAGGTGTCGTGGCAGTCAACGTGTTAATAAATGTTCTTCAGTAAATTATTAATTTGAATTAAAATACTGGTAGAACTAATATAATTTTGTTTTCATCATGTATTGTTTATGTTGATAGCTTCCTGAAAAAATTGTGCAGGAACGAATCGCGTAACAAAGTACAGTGCATTCGAGACGTAACATTTCAGTGCAAATAATAAATTATTTTCAAACAAATAATCAAAATTTTTATTTAAATCTTCTCGAGATTTTTACGTATTAGAAGACACTTGTTATTTTATAAACTCAGAAAGATAGTTATATCCATTGTATATATTACGTACATATATGTGTCGGGTTTTCTGTTCTGCAGTAGCGGACAATCAGGTGCGATATGGCCCTCCGCGCGACACTTGAAGCAAACCACCTTGGACGATGTGGCTGGGCGGTTTCTTTCCTGGTGTCGTGTATCCTTCCGCTGTTCGCTACGCATCCTCTTGCGGCACTCCGTTATTTTGTGTCCATGAGTACCACAATAATGACACTTCACCCGGTGATCCGATAACTTGCGTCGTTTGGCTTCCAGTTCCTCCGATGAATTTCCTAACGAAGATGTCGGCTGATCGTTGTAAGGAAGAACTCTCATTTCATCATAAAATTGGTCCTCCGTCTTGATATTATTTGCGAGCGTTAGTCGTCGAAAGCGTTGATCTTGTGAGCTTAGCATATAAAGGGCTAAAGCATTGATTACTTCGGGGATCGTTAGATCTTGCAACTTCATCTGCAACATGGAACGGAGGCGACTACCGTAAGCTCCTGGGGTTTCAGTCTCCGACGGTCGTTCTCTGGATATCCTTATTAACGCCGAGGCGGCTGTCTCTCTGCCACCAAAACGCGAAAGAAATTGTTCCTTAAACGTTGGTCAGGAAAACTTTCCACCGCGCACTATTTGTGAAAGCCAATGACCCAAAGCAGCAGACCCCTTTAGGGCGCGATTTAGAGCAGAAAGTAACGCACTATCTTGTATCGGATAGTCTTTCAAAATCACATCTGTATATGAGCACCACGCGGATGGATCAGCGCCCGTGCCTTCAGGGTCAAAACGTGGTAACGTTACATCCTTA